GCAGGGATCATGGTCACGAGCAGGGCCCCGTCCCTTGTTCAGTGAGCCGAATATTATATTCATGATTATTATTTTGTTCTTATAAAATTTCTTTTTAGTTTTTGACATTTTTTTGAACATTACTCGTAATAATTAAGGTCTGTTTGTTTCGAATTAAAATTAGATTTTAATCTAAGTCAAGTCAAAGTCAAGCAATCAATATTAATCACGTTTTTTATGGGTCCCATAGCCTTTCAACCACACATTTCAAAAACTTCTATCACAATCTATTAAAAATCTAATTTTAATCCCCACGAAACATCCACTTAAACTTGTTCTGTGGATTAATCTGAGTATCTATTTGAACAAAGCACTGAATTATCAAGTTGTCGGTAGAATCGATGGTTAATTGGTCGGACTAGTGGATCATTGCAAGATAAATTTTGTGAAATTAAAAAAAAAATTAATTAAAATATTATATTTTTTGTCACCAATTATTATTTTTTTTCAAGAGATTATTGATATTTTAGGAATAAAACAATTTAAAGGACATTTTTGAAGGAGTCCTTTTCTCGATTTCCCTATCCAACTCGGTCCGTGTTAAACAGATTCGAGGAAACACTGCAGTTTGGGAAAGGACGAAATGATTATATAAGGTATAATTATAGCTAGTAGGTCCCAACAATTCATCTTGATGGCTTCATTCCATGAACTTTCGACTTGGACGGTTTGAGAGAATTATTCAAATCAAATCACTTAAAGATATGTCTAACATTGCAATTCAAACTCTTACTTTCATAAATGGTTCGGTTAACAACTGATTTTCTCGTTTATATAATAATTTTATTAAGTTTTGAGTGAACTGAATATTAATGTTGATATTGTGTGAAGTGTAGCAATGTGTTATTGATTATTTTAAGTGTTGCTGAAATCAATGATAAAAATGCGTGTCAGCTCACACACTGTCAAAAAATCCGTCAACATTAATGTCGTTATAGCACAACCGACTCTAAAAAGAGTGAACACACACTACAAATTTTGACATTTTATAATTTATTCCAAAGGATGAATCACTAATGGTAAATAATGTCTCATTTTACACCTATATTTGGGAATAATTACCTGAAAATAACCAATATTTGTTTTTGCAAATCCAGATTTTCTCTTTAAAATTTTACTTAGGGTTCGTTTGATTGCAAATGTGAAAAATGTGTGGAAAGAAAATGAATTTTAGGGAATTAAATTGTCTAGAAATTGTTTTACTGAGAATTGTAATTAATTGTGTTTGATTGGTATAATTTTTCACTTGAAAAATGTTGAAAGTTTGGTATCCGTTTGACTTTCTTTTTCATGAAAATTGTCCATTAAATTGATAATTTCATTTATCATTGGGTCTAGAATTTGTTTCACTTGCCAAAAAAATTTCAATTGCTTAAAAAAAAGATAGAAAATCAATTCCCACCAAAATGGTGGGAATTGGTTTTCCACAAAACCAAGGAATTGTTGAGCATGTGAGCCAAATGTGGAAATTTTTTTCCATAAAAAATAAAGTGTATCAAATAAGGCAAAAGTAGGAGTTGGAATTTATTTTCCATTTTCCATGGAAAATAATGCCCTATCAAACAAGGCATTAGCGGTTTGAAAAAACTTTCGAACCAAATAAATCCAAACTATTTTTTTTTCGGTTTGACTCGATTTAAAACTACGATTTAACAAAGAAAGAAATTAATATATAAGTTTAATCACAAGTATTAGCCTAAAATTTCATGTTAAAATATAAATGATACACGTTAAAAATATTACAAATCAAAGTTCTATAATTCATTATTTCCAATCATTATAATGCAACAATTTGATAGAAACATTTTAGCCTCTTAGTCGATACTAATTGGTGCAACATCTATAATTGTAACACCTAATTCATTCTCTTTATAAAGATAAGAATATAGTATATATGTTTATTGATTACAGCTAAATGGTATAAATTAACTAATAAAAGAAAATGAATAGAAATATCAAATATGATAATAACTTGTATAATTTGTTGTCAACCATCCAATGTTTCTACCTCATCCAAATATTGAAGAATTACTTTAGATTCCTTATTAATATGCAACCAGTTTTTAGGGCAAATCAGTTGTTCAACTATATTTGCACTCAACGAAATTCCAGAGGAATCAAGAATCTGACCAATAGTAGGGAATGCAAACCAATAAGTAATTGTGGATATTGAATAGCTAACACATCTTTAGCAATTCGAGGGACATCTTGTATTTATTTACATTCAATTTTCACCAAAATAATGTCGAAAAGTTCATTGATCAAATCTTCAAAATGATCATTTAAGCAATCCATCAAATCACTCTAGCAATTAACAATAAAATCTAAAAAGTAGGTTAAAATGTAAACAATTAATTGAGTGATCTAACAAAAAAATTGAGACGTAAATAAACAAAAAATGCTATCAGTTAAAAATTTAAAGGAGTCCTTACAAATTAGAACAAAACAACACAATTATCAATAAAATATAGCAAACAATTACCAAAAGATAAGAAAATTTGTATAAATTTAATTGAAAATATAGGTGAATTTTGAGAAAATTATTAGTAGAATGAAAAGAAGCGTGTACGTTTGATTAGAATCTAGATTTAATTATCTACTCAATTATATTGGGCGATGGATGAATATGGATCAGCAATTATTGTTCTATCACTGCACCCAATTTGAGGGTTTTACATTCATAGTTGTGATGACTGATGTGTATTTGTATATGATTTTAATTAATTAATTAGGATGGATAATTGTTTGTTGGATATTGAATTTAATTGCGTTATGTCTGATATGGATGTATCTTTTTAATTGAATGTGTTTAGTTTTAATGGGATTAGATAAAAGTTAGATTAATTTATTTTTATATATATTAGTAAACGGTTTGACAGTTTCAAACAGTTTACAAATATTAAAATCTAAATCAAACCATTTTAAAGCGGTTTGTTTCGGTTCAAAATCAAAATGTTAACGAATTCACGTGTATCCAAACCAACAGTTTCAAAAAAGCGTTTTTGATTAGGTTTTGCGATTTGACGGTCTCATTGTTTTGCCCTAATCTTTCATTTCTGTAATATTTTAATCCTCTTGATGATTTTAGCCTTATCCTTTAAGTAAACAAAATTAAATAATGAAAAGAAATAAATAAAAGGTAAGGGTCCACGAACTTTGTATTTCACATTTCTTTTATTTTTTGTAACAAAAGAATTTCTAGATTGATGGTGACAGTAAATACAAAAGGAGATTTTTACCGAAATAAAGTTGATATTGTACATTGTTTATACTTTTAGGTCGATTTATCTGAAATTTATGAATAGCCCCCTCCCTTCGAGGCTCGAGCAAAAATATTCTTCTCGTTTTGCAACACTTGTCTTGCAGTATTAGCAAGAATTAAGTTCCTTGTATATATGAAATGTACAGAAAGCATTACTGATGTAAAAGTCACAACATTGCATGGTTGGTTGAACTGTATTTTTTGCCCAACGTTCAAATTAAATATTGACAGTTGGCAATCTGTCAAAAACAAATTGTCAACGAGTTGGATACATGTCGTGGAATAAGTCGTAGGGGCGGAGCCAAGGGGATTGGTGGTGGCGACTACCCTCTCATCATTTTGAAAATTGTCCATATGGAATTTTTATAGAAAGAATTAAGACTCGTTTGGTTCTTATTTATAAAATAAAGCAGTCAAACATTAATTTTTATCAAGGTCATGTTTGATTGCACTTTAATTCCATGTAAGATGGAAATTAAATTCTATTTTCCACTTTTTTTCATGTTTGATTGTCCAAATTTTCCATGAAATTGGTTTTCCACGAAATTGGTTTTCCACATTTCACCAAAATACTCACATTTTTCTTGGTTTTTGAGGTTGGTGGTAAAAGCTTTTCCAGACAACTTTTTATTTTTATTTTTTTTGGCAATGTAAACAAATTATATTATCAATTGTAACAAATTATATTTCTTTAATGGACAATTTTCATGGAAAACAAAATCAAACAAACAGCAAAAGATCCAAAATTTCAATATTTTTCAAGTGAAAAATTATATCAATCAAACACAATTAATTTACAATTTCCAGTAAAACAAGTTTTAGACAATTCAATTCTCTGAAATTCATTTTCTTTTTTTACCCAAATTCTACACTTGCAATCAAACTGACTCTAACACATTTAGCCCATGCTTGTCTTAAATAAAAATTAGATTTTTAGTAAATCTTTATAAAAGTTGACGAAATACGTTGTAAGGATATTGTGAATCCCATGAAATGTGTGGTTAAATTTAATTGTTGATTTTAACTTAAATATTAATCAACTATTTTAGCTTAACCAAACATGATTTATTATTCAAACATTTCGTATGACTCACTACAGATTCTCTTTATAATCCTATCATACAACGAATCTAACACCCTCCAAAGTTATCAACTTATCATCGTAGCCCATCACAGACAAAATGTGTAAAGTTAAATTTTCTTTTAGATTTTTTTCTTTGATTCCCCTTTCTTTCGTGAAACGTGTAGACGTTTAGGTAGACTTTCGTGTTTTTCCTTTTAGTTATTTGGTTTGATAATGTGTGGTTTTCTTTCTCTATGTAACCCTAAAAAAAATTAGAGAAAGGAAAAATAAAAGCTCACTAGGGACTTAAATGCAATAAGAATATAAAGTGAGGTACCGCATCAACCAAAGCATTAGTTAGGTTAAGGAACTCTTACAATAATTTACCTTTGAAACTGACACGCTAAGTCCAACTCCTACACGTAAAAAACCCTCGCACACGTTTTCAGTTCCTGCCGACTTTCAACCTTCCATGGGCCGACTTTGATTGCCTATTAATTACTTGGAAAAACCCAATGAATTTCTACATCAATTCTCTGAACATTTTCTTTCAATTCTCCCCTTCTCAATTCGTTTTGCTCATAGCGTTTGATTTGTTTTTGTAATATATTTATATTGTGAAGATCTCGATATTCAATGGGAGAAGTTGCAGTTCTTCATCCACGAGATATTTTGAAGAATCAATTCAATCGTAAACATCGAAATAATTTAATCCAACCGCCTATGAAATCCAGGAAAAATCCCACAAATTTGGTTGCTTCTAACCCTAGCTCTACTCCAGCCAAAGTCCGCCGCCGGAAAAGGAGTCCTGCTAATAGTAGGAATTCATCCAGAGCGCCGTCAGATGACGAGTGCAAGAGTCTGGTTATGGGGAAGGTCAAAATTTTGAAACGCGGCGAAGTGTTGACTGATGTAACGACTTCGTTGGACGACTCGTCGTTAATTAAGAAAGAAGAGAACAGCTCGGAAACCGCGACGGCGACAGTCACCGAGGATTTTGTGGTTCCGACCTCCAATACGGTATCGAAAAAGATGGGTATTTACGCTGGGTTCGGTTTCTATTTATCGCCTCCCCCTAGTTCACTTCCTCTACCGGCGTTCTGCAAAAAGAAAAGCCTTGACAGTAACAACAATAATTTCACCCGTGATTTCAGAAGGCTCGATCTTGATTGACTCTGATTCGGTGAAAGTACGAAGCTTTGGTCTACTTGTTAGATTTCGTCGCTCCGATCTGGCTAAAGAATTTCCCTTATGCGGGTCGGGTCGGAGGCAAGTGATGAATTGGCCGTGTGGAATCCTAGCCCTCCACGACAACATTCGTAATAAGTTATATTATTTTTAAAATTATATTGTAGTATTTTAGTTGATAATAAATTAGACAATTCAGAAGTTATATTATTTTTAAAATTATATTGTAGTATTTTAGTTGATAATAAATTAGACAATTCAGGTTATGTGTGTATTCTAGTGCGATGATGTAACTTTTGTATAGGTTGTATTGGTCGAGGCCAAGATGCAATCAGTAATATAAGAATTTATAATTGTAGTTTCGACCCTCCTCCTCCATTGTATGACATCTATCAGAAATAAAATCTCGAGTTTCTAAATATTCTGTACTCAGACGTACTATCTATTTTTGTATACGCTATTCGATTTTCCGTAAATAAATCAGAACTAGGGCAATTCAGCCTCAAACCAGCCTCTTTGAACGATTTTGCAGCTGAATTGGAATTTAGTCTTGGTTTGGTTACGATTAAAATTAGATTTTTAATATATTTTAATAAAAGTAATAAAATGTGTGATTAAAAAGTTATGAATTTCACGTAATTTTAATGTTTTAAGAGATTTAGGTGGATTAGCATTTATGGTTAATTATTGCCATCTTAATTTGGAGTATGTATGTATGTATAAATGGGTTTAATTATAAATGTGATGATTTGTAGAAAACTTAAATTGGTCCATTGGCAAAAAGTTATATATATAAATTTACTTGATGGGTAAAATTACAAATTATAAAAAAATCATTCAATATTACATTAGGATAAATAATAATAAGGTGACCGAAAATAAGATTATTGAAATAGAACGGTTGACAAGGTGACGGAAAGCAATACTTTATTTACCTCCATTATATGATGACGTGATCACAAATTGTCGATAGCGATCAATTAAGATATCCTTGAATTATTGGCGAAATAATCTGTCATTTGTCTTAGACTCAACGGCTATCCTAGTCGTACTCTCTAATCCCCCACTATATATATGTAAATCACGAGAAATTTAGGACACATTTTCCATGTAAGCACAACCGTCTCCAAACATGAAAACACATAATGGAGCTTGTATAAGAGTCCTACGTTGGAAAAAAGGTAAATTGAACTACTATTTACTCAAGCAACTATGCATATTTATTTTTTCCTTTGCACGACCTAACCAAAGGTTTAAATTCAATGTTTAGATAATCATAAAATCGACCAACCTCAATAAGCAATGATCTATCGATCCTAGTTAAATTATTGAGTCGATGACTCCATGATTTGTTCGAATTAACAATCGAATCAGATTCACACCCGTAGAAATGTTTTGGGCCTCCCACCCTTAAAATTTGCATATCCCCCATCGCCAAACTGGTTATGGACTCGTGGCAGATTTTACATTTTCTTGATATTTTTGAGTTTTTAATTTTTAATTTTAACATGACATTTAGGCCGTGTTTGATAGGTCACATTTTCCGGAGGAAGTAGGAAAATATTTTCCACTTTTCACATTTTTGACTGTTTGATAGGCGAAATTTTCCACGGAAAATATTTTCTGGATTTTCCCCANTTTTTTTTCATTTTTTTTTTTTTACTTTTTGGTGATGGAAACAAATTTTATAACCAATTGTGGAAAAAATTATCACTTTAATAGACAATTTTCATGTAAAATAAAGTCAAACGAATAGAAAATTTAAAAATTTTTTGGGTGAAAAATTATACCAATCAAATACACTTGTAATCATTTTCCGTGCAAAACATTTTTTAGAAAAATTTTTTCCCTGTAAAACATTTTCTTTCCACCCATTTTTCACCATTGTAATCAAACACACCCTTATTTTATTTAATAAAATTCACGTCGAGAAACCACCTACCCTCAACAAAATTGAAACTTTAATCCCTCAAGTTGACGAAACTACTCTTCATTGAGTTCTCTTTTTCTCTCTCGTATATATATACGCACGCGCTCTCTGTCCGCCTCCCCTTACTTTGCATAATCCACCCTCTCTCTCTCTCTCTCTCTCTCTCCATCAGGCATCAGCACTTCTTTTCTCTCTGTAACATTCTATACACCCTCACAAAAATCCCATCTACAATCTTCATTCAATCTTGTAATAGCTGAAGAAGAACGCTTGCTGCCGGTGGTGATGAAGGACGATTGGATAAGGGCGGCGTTGACGGACGACGCGGTGGTGGTGGAACTACTGTTGCGTCTCTGGAAGTCGTCTTCATCGGAACCCTCTTCGAAGCCTCCTTGCTCTATTCCTTTACCGCCGCAAAAGTGGGGACTCCGCCAGACGCGGTCTAAGCCGGTCACTGTGATAAAAAAAGAGTCCGCCACCACCACTACTACGAACACGAGATTTAGTCCTACCACTCCGCTGACTTCGTGGAGTGGCGGCGCTACCTCTCCAAGCGATGGAGGCTACGACGAGTCAAGTCGCCTACCTTCCGATCCTTCCTCCTCCGTCAGATCCAAGGTTTGTAGTCTCATTTTCCTCTAAATGTGAAGATTGTTGCAAATTTCTGGTTGGCGTAGATCTCTACCTGTGCCACTTCTTCTCCCGCTTAACCTTTTCACCTCTTTCAGAATGACGTTAATTACATCTTTTTCATCGCCTCTATCAGTTTCTTAACCAACGATAACAATTTACAGAATTTTTGCGTTATTTTCATCTCTCTTGAGGATACCTTCTTTTTTACTATCGTTTATAATGAATAACATCGCCGTCGATTTTTCGATGGTCGCGCTGGATTTCTGGCCTTCCGATCTATAAAATGGCTTATTTTTCAGGTCGATAGGATTTCTCCATGGTCGAATTACCTTTCTGTTGTTCGAAAACGTACAAAACACTTATCATGATTTCTGGCTTTTTTCACCAATTTATTTACAGTTTTGAAAATACTCAAATTTCTGGAATTTTTGTCTATTTTTTCCAATTGAAAACACATTTTCAGAAAATTTACCTTTCATTTTCCTCGTTTTTCTGTTTTTATACTCCAAGGTAAACTTTCGGGGAATTACGGATTTATATCAGCCATTAATGGTTGACCTGTAATTTGCCTTTTGTTTTGCGATTGGAGTGTGTGGGAATTTTATTAATTTTAAATACCCGTGAAAACCCCGATTTCTTCTCGCCTCTTTCTTCCCTATGACCTGTTAATGCCTCATCGTCAGCGCTGCTTCCAATATAAGAGTACCTTTCTCTTTTGAAACGCCAGATCCACTAACTTTTTTCAGTTTTTCACGAGTGTGTGTTTTATGCTTGTAGTTTCTTTTAAATGACGAAAATACCCCTGCTGAATAGTCAAATTTGTTGCCGGTTTTGATGCGCTGAACCTCCCCTATAAATGGGTCTTGAGATGGTCTGTTGGGGCCCCCACATAAAGAATAGGTGGGACCCGTTATGTGGTGTGGGTTTGGGGAATTTCATTCTGGGTTTTCCTCTTTGTGTGTGTGCGTGGGTGCGTATGGTTCGGTGAATTCTTTTGAGGGCTCTGGTCTGACTAATTTTATCATACCTTTTTGATTGTGGGCGCTGAACATGTCAACTATTTTGTTGTGCCTTCTGCTGGAGTGTCTAGAGCAGCCTCTTTCTTTTATGTATGCATATCCAGATGTGCACGTGCCCTTATAGCATATTTGCCATTACTTTTTTAAGCGCGTCTTTTGGATGTGCCCTTAGACCATGTTTGGCCTTGCTTTTTTAAGCGGCTTCTTTTGAATGTGCCCTTAGACCATGTTTGGTCTTGTTCTTCATGCTGCCATGAGAAGCCACTTTTTGTTTTCGTGGCATGTGAGCGGATGTATAGATCTTGTAGAGCATCCTTATAGTTTAATTTTTGACATATGATCTTGTTATATAGTTTACTACTTGGGTTAGGACTGATTTTCTAGTATTTTGTGTATAAAATACCATGAGGATGGAGTAGTAGAATCTCATGGATTTAGCTTTTATGAGGTGCAGGCTGAAATTTGTGGGGAGAATACGGTGGATTATTCCCTTTACATCAAATTTCAGTCATAAGGAGAAGTTGAAAGTGGCGTGAGAGGATGACTAGTAAGCTGTCCCCCTTTGTGTTACCTCCCTATGTAGTCCTGAATTCACGTGGAGCCCTTCCACGAGGCTTCGCGTACATGCGTTGTCATATATTTCTTTTAAATGATTTTATTTCAACCTTTCGCGAATAATTATGCATTTATGTTTTGTCAAGCATGTAGCGAATCTGATTCATTTGAACGAGTCAATATTGTATCACGACTTCCTTTCTTTGCACCGTCACCTTTAATAATTGAATTATTACTTGATTATGGCTTAAATATGCATGTGTACCTTGTCTTGGAGCATGAACGTTAATTAATGAATGATTTGTCGTTGCAGCCATTTTCTGAGCTCAAAGAGGATGATAACTTGGTTTTGAAGGAGAAACTTCATTTGAGGAAGGTAGGTTTATTTAACTGAAACATTATTCAACTAGTGATTATTGTATCCATATTTGTACTTCTTGTTTGGTCCCATTTGACTAAGACACCATAACAGGTGAAACAGGAATTAGCTTCAACACGAATGACTGTGTGTGAACAGGATGCCTGGAGCCACAACGTGAAGAGAATGAAGGTAATCCTTATGCCTGCACGATTATTGCATTTGCTCTGATTATTACTTGTATTATTGGAGGAATAACATTAGGAATTTGCCATTTTGCAGTTGGATCTAAATCTACAGTCAACATTTGAAGTTTCCAAACAGATAGAGGCATCAACAACTGAGCATCGACTTAGTCCTAGTTTTGAACTGGCTTCATCTCATTCCTGCAAATTAAAAGACAAAGAGACATCCAATGGAGGCTTTATTCTACCAGATCTAAATATGATGCCATTAGAGGGAGAGACCGGATCAGAATCATTTTATTGAATCAACCGACTGTTGGAAGGGTAATATTTCTGGTTGTGTCTCTTATCTTTCCCCGAATCCAGTGGTTAAGATTGATAAATATATTATGATGTTGGCCGATGGTCCAGCTGCTCGTGAACTTGCATATCGCCAAGGAGTTATACGACTTCCCTTGTAGCTGAAAAATTACGACTCAGACAATTTTTTTTACAGGCAGGTTGGCTTGATGAGTTGTAATTGGAGGGTCTCGAGGAAAAGGGGGTATTATAGAATCGAATCTAAGCTTAGATTAAAGCTTTAGATATGTAGAAATTGTTGACATTTTTTCTTTATTTCTTTCAAGTTCTTTTGGGGGGTGAAACCTCATCATTTCTTAAGAAAACAGAAATGCAGCTTTATTCTACATATTTGTTCAAGTTTGTCTATTTCCCTTGTCTGATCATTGGGAGGATAGGTTAATCCATTTGTACATAATAGTTTGTACATAATGAATTATCCTCTCTTACATAATGTGCACGTGTATTTAAAATTTTTGACAATGTGGTTCCCATCTCTATTGTGAGTAGTAGGTAAAAGAATCGGTAAAAAAATTAGGTACATGTAACATGATCATGAGCTGATTAATGCCCTTTTAAAGTAAACACTTTCAGTTCGAGTTCCTTCAGGGTCACTGAAGTGAGTATTCGACCGTAAACTTCAAGACCCCATTGAATTAGTCGAGGTGTGCGCAAGCTGATCTGAACATTCACGATTATCAAAAAATAAAGTAAGCACTTGTCCGAGGGAGTTTTTCTTTCAAAAGTTTATATTTTTATGTTTCGTTTGACAACTATCTAACAAGTAAAGAACTTCACAACATTAGACTAGAGAGTGCACGTTTTTCACGTGATTGTTCCTCAAGTAACGTAAATAAGAAGTGAAGACAATAAAAGGAAAATAAAAACTGTAAAAGTTAATATGTCAATTTCGCAACAGAAAGAGACAGACTGGTCTAAGAAAAAGTCGTGATTCTAAATGAAGGGGTAAAATGTAAAAACACACAATTAAAAGCATATTTAATGGTGATGTAAAATAGATTTACATTGTGATTCAGATTTTCAAGGTAAGCAGAAATCTCTTCAATAGAGATATGTATGCAACGAAAATGTAAATTGCATTTTTCAGTAGAAAGTAAAAAAAAAAAGATGTAAATTACATTCATGAGAGGCAAAAAGTGAATTTAAATCTTTCTATTGATGCAATGCAAAATTTGAATTTAAATCCATCGCGTTTTAAATGAGGATGCCAACGTGATTTTTTAAGTATCAATTTACCCTCAATTTTACAACATCAATACCAATGGGGGATGGGATGGGTCGGTGCAATCTCCCCTACACCGCTAAATAATTTACTGTCCATTACCCATTTAAAGCAGGACGGGGCCTGTTTAATTTTATTTTTTTTTCCAGTTTGTGTTCATTTTATTGCTGCATTCATTAAAGTGAAACAATAATATATTTATTAATTTAATTTTAAAAGTTTAATTATTCAAATATATTTTATAAACTAAGATTTTTATTATTTGTCATATTATTTAGATAATTTTACTTATCATCTTCTATTAGAACTAATGAAAGTTCATAGAGCTTTTCAATTAAAGTGTGAATTCTTTAAAAAAATATATTAAACAGGGTGGGGCTCCTTGTTACCCGTACCCACCTGGGACGAAGTCCCCCACCCTGTCCCCGACCCGATTACCCAATTAAGTGAGTAATTCTTGCTCCATTCGAGATGGGGCCCCGTGATTATCGAGTTTGATGAATTTTTTTACCATCCTTAATTACAAATGCTCTAAAAGATTTAGACCTTATCAAACCAGAAATGCTTCAATAAATATTCCGTAAGAAACCTATATTTGGTTCATATTTATAGACTGTTGATGAACACTCAACTTAGGGCTGGACAAAACTTCCGAATCGAATCGAATCGAATCGAGCAGTTCTTCATAAGTTAAATACTTGAACGGGTATCTGAATCGAGAACCGACGTATTTAGTTCGATTCTCGGTTCTAGACCTAGAATCGAAGAACCAAATAAAAATCGAATTTAATTAATTGTTTTAATTTTTTATATTGAATTAATTAATTTTTTTTACTTTTTTCTAAAAAAAATTAGCAAATTAACTAATTTAGTTATTAATGTTCTAACTCCCAAGCCAAATCCATGCCAGCCAACCCAGCCCAACCCAATTTCTAAATTCAATTTTTTAATTTAATTTTTTTGTCCTATTATTAATTTCATTTTTAGCCAAAGATTTAGGTCTTTTTAAATTTTTATCATTCTCTTTTCAATTTCACACTTTCATTCTGTAACCACTGAGTCAGTGACCCTAAATCATTTCATAAATTGAAAACATACATCTACATGCCCAAATCGAAATCACCAACTGTGAAGTCAGACTTCCCCTCTCTAATGCCCATCGAAGCCGCGACCTCCAATCACGACCACCGATCGTTTACTATTAAAAATCTGTTAAAAAAATTCATTATGGTACGGAACCGAACCGAACTTAACTCGAACGATTCCAAAATTATATTTGAACCCAACGGTTCCATTTATTAAATACCCGAAAATATTGGTTCGGTTCTCTTTAGAACCGAATCGAACCATGTCCAGCCCTACTCGAACTACTTTTTATTTTCACACTTTCGAGGTATTACTCATTTTTCTAACACTTATTTCTTTTTTTCTTCTTATGACTCAAGTGTCTGAGATTTGCCTGACTAATCATGAGGAATTGCAGCCTTCCCCCCTGATTCTCCTCCCTGTGAGGGCCTGACAACTTTTGTCCATATATTGCGTAGTGCACGAATAGTTTTATATCTTCCTACTTATGTCATAGCAGAGAGGGGATTTAAGTTTGTCAAAATAAATGAAATACTGCTTGATCAAGGAAGTTAATACATAATGTTTGAACTGAAGCGCCTCTAACTGCATTACACATTCAACGGCCTAACTCTCAGCCAGGTTAATATAACTGTCCCAAATATCTTAGAAGAATATTTAGAAAGGAAATGGGAGAGGAGGCATACACAAAAATACACCCATCTTTACTTCTTTTTGCCAGCTTTACCCTCCTTTCTTCTTACTATTTCGTCCGCGTATTTTACACCTTTACCTTTATATGGCTCTGGAGGTCTCCACTTCCTAATCGACGCAGCAAATTGACCGATATCAGATTTGTTGTACCCGCTCACGGTGATTCTTGTGTTATCTTCCACTTTCACCTGCAGGCCATCAGGAATTGTCATCCTAACGGGATGGGAAAACCCCAGATTAAGAACAATGTCTTTTCCTTCAACTGTAGCACGATACCCTACACCTATCAACTGAAGTTTCTTCTCAAATCCTTTAGAAACACCCACCACCATGTTATCGGTAAGGGTCCTGACAAGATAAAATAAGATAAATCAAGAGGAACACCAGAAGTATAATCCAAATATAATTTTAAAACGTCATCAAGAACATAGTGAACCTATTCAGTCAACAATATCATGTAACCATTTTCCGGTGTTAATTTCATTTTCAAAATACTTTACATTGAGCAAGAGATTATTCCAAATAGCTCGAGTGAGCATTTCAATCTCTGATATCTGATTGTAGCTTGTTCAAATAAATCCGAGACAGCCTCTTGATGCTTAAAATAGGTGGGAAACTGGTTTTCATAGAAAGTATATGATTCAAATACAAAGTAATCAAAGACAAATGTTATGCAGCAGAAAACAGGTCAGTTTACAAGATTCCCTAAAATGCGTTTGTATGGCCAAGAGTGGAAAATATCAGGAACAGCAAAGTTCTCATTAGGACAACGGTTTTGGAAGAGAGGGGGGGGGGGGGGGGGAGGTTTGAAAGTAAGATAAGGAGTTCTTCTAAAAACTGTTCCTTAATTGTAAAAAAGTAGTTTATGAATGATAACAAGGCTTTAAGAGTGGAAAATATCAGGAACAGCAATGTTCTGTTGTTGCGGGTCATAGGCTTTTGTAAGGGTACACTATTAAGAAGATGTGGTAATATTGCATAGAATCAAGACAAAGATTATAAAGTTGAGGAGAAAAGAAAGTGAAATTACTGTTCATGATTCTTAAGAAAGTTCACACTAATCCAATATAAATTCATTACAATTCAACACCACCGAAATTGATTTGCTATTTGACCGGAGTGAGTACTTCTGCCAAAACTACTCTGTGGGCTTTGTCTATTCAGTATCTTTGACAATGTAAATCTTTCTGAGGTGGCGTTCTATGAGATTGCATTATTATTGTAGATGAAATGGTTTCCTATAACAAAACTCCAGACAGCAACTCAATACAGCTTTAAATTACTTACAACTTAGAATAGAACTAATTAACATAAGGTCTTGGAATACCATACTTTCAAGGATTAATCTCCTCCACGATTTTCTCCATTTATGTTGAACATCAATTGCTCTAGTAGAATTTGTTGTTTCTTGCCCATGAAATCCTGTTTATAACATCACGTGAAATACAAAAAAAAAAGAGCTCCCCCCCCTCCCCCCTTCTTTTTTTGATCTTTACATTCTCAAATAAAGGTGACGTGAGAATGCATTTGAGTTAACTTCAATTCTAAAATGTAGAAGGTCCAGAAAGTAAATCGAGATTGGATTTTATGGTTAATTTGTGGATCATGGGATTCCATTTCTGAAAATATAAAAATAAAACATGCTGGTAGCAAAGAAGTGAATGTAGATAAGCAAAATAGAAAATAAAATATTAATATGAAGAGTGAGAATCAAGAAGCCTTCTTCAGATATGTGATTTTGGAGTAAAAATAAGCCCTAAATTAGCATTGAAAATGATGGAGAGACAACTGCTGATTGGTCTATATGGATCAGAAAGAAATATTGGACGTATGTAAGAGGAAATTTTGAGAGGATCGTTTTGGAGAGAGAAAACGAAAAATGGTCAAACACTTTTTAACTTGAAAATGATCAAAATTTTGGAGTATTCCTGGAATGCCCATGGCTTTCCTTCCCTTCATCAACACTGAAGTTCCTTCTTCCAAAAAGCCACAAATCTATATATTGTTGCATCCCACTAGATAGCCTGCACAAATGTTCAGCTAAACCAAAGTTTGTCAATCCAGCACCATTCTTCATCGACCAAGTATGCCTGCGACCCTCAAACCCACCAGCGCACCAGTAAACAGATATAATGTGTGAAATTAGAGAAATTTGAGTGACTCTGGGGGTAAGAAATTCTTCCACATAGCCACAAGACTATTCTAACTTAAGGCTTGAAATTATTCCATGTAGGATTTTCTTTTGCAACGTTCCGATAGTTTTCAAAGACGAGGTTGAGCGGAGCAAATAAGAGGATAAGAAATTAGAAGTTTAGTGCAAATTCCTAGAAGTTCGTTGACAAAGGCACACCCATAAGTTTAGTGTCCAAAGAAGTGTTTAAACCTTTAGTTTCTGCTGGCAAAGAGTTTAAGTTCTTTTATAATGTTACTCTCTCAAATTTAGATGTTCCTCTCTCTCTCTCTCTCTCCTGTAACTTTTTTCTCTTCTCTTCTCTCAACTTTCCTTTCTCGTCTTCTTTTCTACTTGTCTCTCTTCATCTGTTTCTCTCTCCCGTTCTGCATTAGGAACGAGGAAGCCTCAGATGCGAAAACATTGATCGCCATTATGGAACAAGTAAGGAAACCACCAAGAAATATGATATGTTGGGATCAGCTATCCACCTACACCTAAAGATTCAGTCATGAAAGTTGTTCAAGACACAAACCAACAGGTAGTTGCCTTTATCCTAACGATGTGATTCTGGCCAATTCTCTAGTTAGATGTTGGTTTCTTTATTTTCTTGCATGACAAAATCAACGAAGTAGTATGAGAAATGGGGATGAAGACAATAAATGGGGTGACTATTGTCAAAAAAAGGTTTACAAGAGAAATCTGCTAAAAGTTACATGGAAAACCAAATTTGGTGATAAAGGAAATAGTTAATTTATTACAAAATGCTTATCAAGGTGCTGCCAGAGAATATTTAGAACAAGCGGATAGCTCCAAGTTAGCCTCAGATAGGCCATTCATGAAATTGAGACTTGTGTGGAAAGTTTGTAAGTAGGAAATTCAACTTCCTCCATAATTATACTATCCATAACCGTTTATCCTCTAACCCTTGGATAATTGGGCATCTGACCCCTATGTCTGAAGATTGACATTTATTCCCCAAAAAATAGATTCATGTTTAGGAAACAATTGTTTTAAGTATCCAACAGGTTGTTTATTCCCATTAATATTAAATGTTCAATTTCAACTCTATTAAACTCATGTTCAGTCCTACATGTCCTCAAATATTGCTTGTAATCTTATCTAAATCCCTAAATTGTTTTGAAACATGTTATCCTACATGTGGTGTTTTTCATGGCCTACAAAGAAAATTGGCAATGCTAAAGAGGGAGGGATTTACTATCTTACATCAAGAAGTGAAAGGAAACCCACAAGCTAATGCTACTTGGACAATGTAAGCTAGGGAAGAAACAAAAACCGAGCTGGATATGGTGTATCATAAGGGATTTTATTAATGGCAATAGTAACTTTAAATTACCTTGAGGAATAAGAGGTCTTATATTCCGTTTACTATGGTCCATAATTATAGTCCACTAGTTGTTTTCTAATTGTACACAGATGGTTTACTTTGTTCATTGACGAGTCCAAGGATTACTTGGATCTATCTTCTCAATGAGAAATTCAAAGGTACTGCAATTTTCATGTCACGCCACGTGATAAAATGCACAAAATTCAGTTTGTGCTAAAATAGAAACGAGAAGGAATATTTCAACCTTATTGTGGAGTCACACTTGCATGCAAAAGCGACAATCCATCAATCTTCTTGTAGCAACACAACCAACAAAAGAACTGATAAGAGAAGAAAACAAGCTTGTTGGAGGTAGCTCAAGTTTTGTTATTTTCTCGAATGCTCCAGAGTTTTTTGGTCAAATGCGACTTTGACTGGTAAGTATCATGTTAACAAGATGCCGTCAAAAGCTCAAAATCTGAAAACTTCCACTGGGCTCCCGAAAGACCCTTTTCCTACTTTGAATTTTTCACCTCACTACCATGTTAACACTCAGTTTGGCAAATTTATAAATGGCTTATAAAAAGAAATAGCATGAGGAATAGTAGTGGGTCCAAGAAATGTATGGATAATAATCAGAAGTAGTTATGAAAGTGGTTGAAATTAATGTTAGACTTTGACTAATTCTAAACAAATTTACAATTATATCCAAACAAAGGCTAAGTAATTTACTGTCCAGTATTTGTTAATATTCATAGTCATGAAAGGAACCTCTGTATATAAAGGAAAGGCAGACAAGTTAGGAAGTTGAGCCACCTATCTTACACGGGGTCTAATATAAACTAGAGCATCGGTTAGTCTATTTACGCATTTACCTTTGGAGTGTCACTTGGAAGCAGTCATTAGAATACTCTTATTCTTGAAGGCCATCATCATCAAAGAATGGTCACCTCAAAGTTGAAGCATACACAGAAGCAGACTAGGCTAGATTACATATGAAAGGTCGACATCACGATAATGCACATATGTTGGAGGTAACCTAGCTAACTGGAGAAGCAAGAACAAACCAGTAGTGGCTCACTCAAGTGCTGAGACAAAATGGATGAAGGAATATGTAAAGTGCTCCTGATCATACTTAGATAACTAAGATTGTAGCCTAAAAAACTATGAGATTTTATTGTGAGAACAGTAAAATCAACATTACCTGCAACCCAATTCATCATTATCAGACCAAACATGTTGAAATCAATAGACATTTTATCAAAGAAAAGATTAAGAATGGAGAAATCACCACACCCTGTCTGACTACCAAACAAATGCTGAAAAATATTTTCACAAAAATAATTCAAGATTATCTCTTCTCAACTACTTAAGAAGTTTGGTATGCATAATATTTTCGCACTAGCCTCGGGTGGAGTGTTCGAATATTCAGGAACTGAAGAAAAATGTCTTTAACTATGAATTAACATTGTAGAGAAAAGAAAATGCAATGAGGATATCTTAAGAAAAAAGAGAGATGTGAAAATTACCTGAATAAACCGTGCATTTGATTGGCTCTCCTTGTCTCCACTGCCTTTTTCACCTTAAGAAATCCCGGATCTTCCTTATCAACCTTGACTTCTCGTGGATAAGTAATAGCGAGCTGTCCCAATGGGCCCTTTACACTCATATTTTGGCCTTCCATTGTGATTGTCACATTGGAAGGCACTGGTATCGGTTGCTTGCCAATTCTTGATTCCTTGCATTCCACAGTCTTTCTCATAAAACCAACCCGAGATATAGCCACTTTTGGCACACAGATTCCATTTGCCTCTCCAAGAAAAGGGCTTCTTAAATTACTGATATAAAGCATAATGTTTCAAAAGCCTCAGAATAACACACAATTATGCATTCAGCCAAAAACAAAACAATTACGCGAGTAGGTGTGCATTCTGCAAAAGTGTTGTATGCTCCTAACCTGGATTGGATAGAAGCACCAAGCGGGGATGCCATTGTCCAACAACTTGTGAGCGATTCAACTAATATCCAGTTACAGCGGCTTCCTGTAATGAACAAATGCTTTATTAAAATGATATTTGTATTTGATTATTTTGTTACTGAGAAAATGTCCCCACAACACCCGCGGTTCCTTTAAAATTTCTCCTTTTTCAAGAACAAATGAGGTTCATTATGAATGAAAAACCAGAACATGAACAAGGAAAAATATAACATTGAGCGACCCAAGCATCAAACAATAAATAAATTAGCAAGAATTTAACAAGATTGAGGAAAGTAAACTTGGAATTAGAGAGACTGGAGAAAAACCTTAACACCTACGAACCAAGGAACCGAGAATCACCCACTTTGCAGCTATCTTTGACACACTTTTTCTGTGTGGAATAAAGGGGAATAAGCTAATAGGAGAGTCCAGTTTAAGAGGAAGATAAGGTTTATCCTGGTGTCACGTGCATTACAATTTAAAGCTGCAAATGCGTTTTATAGAGTCGCGTTTAGTTTATTTTTCCTCTTGGTGGATGATTGGAAAGATGAACGAAAGGTATTTCAATTATGCGGAGGGGCAAAAATGTCCAAAATTGACAATCTTGGAAAGACTTAAAAAATGTGACATTTTTGTAAATGTAAAGCAAAAAATTGCCATCTAGTGCAATTTCCTCAATATATATAAAATCTTTTACACAAGCCCTCAAAATAAATCCGTCATCAAACTAGGGAGGCAAATAGTACAGATTTATATACATGAAACTCGCATATTCCAGAAAATCAACAGAATATAAAATCTATTATAACATAGGAAAAAAAGATGAAGCCAGAAAATAAAATAAAAACAAGATTCGTGCAAATTTTAAACCACGGTTCTAACTTGTAAATGTTCAACTTTTCAACAGAGTCTACAAAACATACAATCCATTATTAGAGAGGCAAAATAGAGATGAACCCAGAAATTAAAAAGAATAAAATTTAGTCAGAATTCTATTTTTCAAATTTTCCGTAGAAAGTAATTCAATGTCGATTTAAGTAATAACGAAATTAGGGGTCTATAAAATCTCGCTACGGATATTTTTTTACGTGGGCTTCTATTACTTTAAGCAGATTTCGTACCTCCCTATAACACCATTATTGTTTTGTGTTTATTTGGAAGAATTCCAATGGGGATTGGTTTTATTTTGGAAACGTCGATTGCTAAGGACGTGAATTGTCGCCGGAGGGAATGGAGAGAATTTGGGGAAGAAATGAAGAAGAAAATAGACGTCTGGCTCTCCTGCTACGAGGGGTTTTGGATTGGGGTTTTCTTTGGGCAACATTTTCTTTTTTTCTTTTTTTGGTTTTTTTGTACTTCAAATGTACTATAATACTGGCATTTTGTACAAATTTTAAATATAGTCAAATCTGAATTAATGTTAAACATATAAGGTATTTCAATTATGCAGAAGGGCAAAAATGTCCAAAATTGACAATTTTGGAAAGACTTTAAAAAAGTAACATTTTTGTAAATGTAAAGCCAAAAATTGCCATCTAGCGCAATTTCCTCAACTAACTTTTTCTTCTCCTTCTAACTCAAAATGGGACAAAGAATATTTCATTTATGGTAATTAGCACATAACGACCTCATTTTTCATTGTTATGTGAAAAACTTCCATACCCTTCATTTCTTGACATTTTCACCCTTATTTCCACATTTCATTACGCAAAAGGTCATTTTCATCCATGTTCTCAATAAAAAATTGTGAAATGACGAAAATACAATTTCCTTCAAATAAAACAAAAGAAAAAAATTAATTGCAAACACAGTCCCAACTTTTTTGAAAAGCGCAAATGATTTCCAAATAAATTATTAAAAGGGTAATTAGCACATAATGTCCATAATTTTCACTATTATTGTGAAAAACATCCCTACCTTTTATTTTATTTTTTTGACATTTTATTCCTTAACTATATTTTGATAGCGCAAACTATCATTTCTATCCATTTTCTCAATAAAGAATTGTGAAATAAGAAATATACCCTCATATTTAAATAAAAAGTATATATATTTTTTAATTTCTAATCCTTTAATAATTTATTTGGGACTAGTTCGTACTTTTTAATTTTAATTTTTTAAATTTTTAAATAAATTTAATTGGGATTCATTTGCACTTTTCATAAAAAATAAAAATTTTTAAATAATTTATTGGGGATTCGTTTGCACTTTTTTAAAAAATTGGGACAATTGTTGTAATTAATTCTTTAGTTTTTGTTATTAATTATGAGGGTATATTCGTCATCCCACTGTTTTTTATTAAGAAAATGGATGAAAATGAATAAATATTATGGTTTGCGCTATCAAATTATAATTAAGGGAGAAAATACTAAAAAAAATAAAAGGTATAATAGATGTTTTTGGTGATAATAGTAAAAGGTATGAGCATTATGTACCAATTACCCTTTTAATAATTTATTTGGGATTCATTTGCGTTTTTCGAAAAAAAGTTAGGCCTATGTTTGCAATTATTTTTTCTTTTTCCTTCTTTTTTTATTCAAAGGGAATGGTGTTTTCGTTATTTTACAATTTTTAATTGAGAAAATGGATAAAATGGACATTTTGAGCAATGAAAGGTGAAAATGTCAAAAAATAAAAGGTATGAACATTTTCCGCAATAACAGTGAAAGGTGAGAACGTTTTGTGCTAATTACCATTTGATTTACTCTTCCAAGTATTTTTTTTTTTCTTTCTTTCTTTTGGGAAAACGGCATTATTGGTCATGAATCTTTATACGAGCTATGATCTTCAACNTTTTGGGAAAACGGCATTATTGGTCATGAATCTTTATACGAGCTATGATCTTCAACCATATACTTTTATTGCATGTTGGTTCAAATAATAATTTCATCAAATTTGTTAATAAAATAGCAAGAAATTATAGAAAAGGACAATTATGTCTGTTGGTATAATTTGTACTTGTGTTATTTTATATTGTTAAAAGGGTAGAATTGTAATTTTATTTCATGATGTCTAAATGACTACGACTAAGTTACCATTTACCATATAAGTCTAACTTATTCTTTATTCACTACAATGACATTTTCATAATGTAAAAGGCGAAGATACCCTTAAAACGGTCCAGAAGCCCGGACCACCATTTGGGTTGTCTGGGCCTAGACGCAAAATCGTCTTCCAAACGGCCATATGCATGGCGGAGCTCGCCATTTTTGTCAAGCTCTACCCCAAAAAATCACCAAAACCATACCTAACCTTGATTAGAACAATAAATCTATCTTAAACCAAGCATTAAAAGCATAAATTTATAGATTTTTATCAAGACCGAATGTAAACATCAAATAATATTTGGCCATTCGTAAAATCATAAAATTTAAACAATAAAAATTAAAAAACTAACATTGATTAAATGTGTAGAGGATGATGATGGTGAATAGTGTTGAAGTCGATTTCATCGGTAAGATTTTTGTTCCCCTTCTTTTTGAATTTTTTTTCACTATTTTTTTCCTTTGAAACGAAGGGTCTATGAAAGATTTTGTTAATTTTTAAATAAAACCTGGTCAAATGCTATTGTGGAAATCGGGCTTAGTCAACCGATCATTGGCCACCATTTCCTCCACTTTTGTATAACAATTGCTTATTTGATGTTTGGAATGCTAACCCTTATGTGCTCCTATTCCATCTTGCTTGCACTCACAAAATTCACATGACATTAGAGTTCCAATCCATATGAATATTTTTGTTATATGGTGCGAATATTATTCACATATTAATGTTCGGTATTCTTTTGGATACTTTATATATTTTTATATTTGATATTTGTTTGAGCTTTTAGTATTTGTTTGATATATTGTTATGTTGGTTCTTGATTGAATTTTTATGATGATTATCTTCAATCCATTAGTTGAGATTAGATGGGAAAAGCTATTCCTAATGACTAATGAGTGTTGTGGTCAAGATTTTTTTTGAAGGGTAAACTAATGTGGGATTTGTAATTGGTATTGAAATCAAACCTAAGTTTGATAATGTTGGCGATGATAAGTTTGTAGGAATACTTCATACTTAAAATATGAATAATGTCAAAATTGTGACTTGGATATTTAATTTGGTTGAACACTCTATTTGGGTACAATTGACAAATTATGAAACAACTAAGAAAATTTGTGATCATTTGGCACGATTATTTATACTTACTAATTTTGCTACGAAATTTCAATTCAAAACTGATATTTGAGCACTAGAGCAGGAAAATACGAGTGTTCAAAATTTTTATTTTGCAATGACTAGTCTTTGAGATCGATTGAGTCTTACATATTAAACGTAGAGGGCACGTCTGATTCATTTTTTAAGGCTCTATGTGATGATTTTGAGGATCTCCTTTGGTCTATCCTACATCGTAATCCACTTCCTTCCATTGATTCTATTGTTACTTGTTAGTGAACTTTTTGAAGAGGAAATATGTTCAAAATCTCATGCAGAAAAATATCTCTACATCTACTACTACGATTTTGGTTGCCCTTCTTCGACTATTTGCACACAATCAGACCAGATATCATGTTGCCAAAAGGAAAGAAGCCCCGCGATAGGGGGAGGGGGGGGGGGGCTTAATTAAAATGAACATTGTTGAACTATTTAACCTTACAATTTAGACCCAAATCTCTAAGAATAATTCTGCTTGTACAGAACTATTCATTTACAGAAAATTATAGAAAAAATTTATTTCCTAAAATACCCTTTACATATAATTTGCAACAAGGAGCCACTATAAGAATATAAAAACTCCATATTAGACCTCAAAAAATTATGAGTGTAAAATTTATTCCGCTGACTCTGTGCACTCCGTTATAATTGGTATCAGAGCCTTGTAAGATCATGAAAATTGAAATGATTAAAAGTAATTTGTATTATATATTAAGAGAAAAAGATGGTCTGAGTTATATGTTTACAGATCCCTTTAATAGGAGATTAAAAATATTAACATTAATAATAATTAAAAAACTACCAATAAAAATAAGAA